TACATAGACTTGGGGCCCACATTTGAGATTTTCCCTTTGGACTTCCTTGCAGCCATTCCATTCCAGTCAGCAGGTTAGCAGACAGACCTACAGCTCAAAACCTTCCCTTTCACCAAGTGGGGACCAGCATGAAAACCAAGGAATTTTTAATGAAAACCAAGGACCAGCATTAAAACATCAGAATTTTAGGCACAGAATAACAAAAATGACAAGTAATTAATAAATGAAACATCCAACCTGCCTGCATCTTTTTACAGCTTGCACCTCTGTGTGATTTCTTGTCCTAGATGGCTCCTTATATGGCCAGACTGGTGGCACTGCTGACTACAAGATGGCATAGCTTGGAAAGGTTTCCTTGAGCAGTTCTTAGAATTTCCGGCCCCAGGAATCTGTGACACCCTTACAAATTGATTACTTTAAGTGACTTTTGATTATGTTGTCGGTAGCTATCAATGTTTATAACATATTAATTACTGGTAAAATCAGAAAACACAAGAATATGCATGCCATACATCCACGGGCAATGAGGTGATCACATGTCCCATGCCTTCTGGAAAACTCTACTGTACACTGGTTACAAAACAGGGTGAAAGGCATTTAATGTCTTAGCATGATTATGAAAATGTTTTCTCTTTGCAAAACCTCTGAAAGGGTCTCAGAGTTCCCCACCTTCCCCAGAAAACATTTTGGGGACACTCATTTTGCCATCTCAGAGTTTTCAATACGAACAGGATTGTCACTAACAATATTCCACTTAAAGTCTTGAATAAAATGAGAAGTTTAAGTTCTTTTAATATCTCTATGCAATTCTTATGACGTTCATTAGCATTAAGTCTAAGTTCCCATTTTAACTGTCAATAAGACCTAGGCAAGACATGATTCATTAAAATCTACAGAATCTGTGTTGATTAAAGTAAATAAAGAAAAAGATTCAAGTAATTCTCCAAAAGAAAGAAAAAAATTCAAGTATTTCAAAATAGGGCAACTAATTTTCTTTCTTCATACTTTGTACTTGTGAGTGAATGTGCCCTTTCCACAATTCAAAGACAAAAATTACAACCGGTGACTTATGCAGAAATAGACTTAAATCTTAATGATTGAGATCAAAGTAATACATTAAACAGTTTAGGGAAAAACCTGCACATCTAGAACTCAAATGCTCTCTAGTGGCACACTCACACTACTTTTTCAAATGCCAATAAGCATCAATACCGAAATCACAATGAATGAAAAGTCTGGATCTCTCTCTCTCCATTGACCAACAACTCTAAGTGCATGCACACGTATGTGCACACACACAAAGATAACAAAGGGAAAATATCAGAGGTCTTACACTTGAATATCTTACCTTTATTACAAAATAGGGTAGCCTACAAAAATGCATTTGCATAAAAGAGAAATAGATAAATGCAACAGTAATCTAAGTGTAAACATGTCTTTTAGGGCAAACAAATGCTAATTTACAATGAAGCCTCAGTCTCAGGGTTCCACCCTAAGTGAACAAATGCATATTTTGGATGTAATGCAAATCTAGAAGGCAAAATAGCTATTTGCAAATCTTGAACTTCCCCTCCCTTCAATTCCAACTGCTCTAGACATTCACGCCACGCTAAAAAGGCTGCACAGGATCTTCCCAAAATCACTGTCTAATCCTAAATACAAAGATCACAATTAGCTTTCCTTGTTTATTTCAGTGTCAGATGCTCCACTTTTAACAGTAACTGCCACTTCTCCTTAGCAGTCCTTTTGAAACAGTTTCAACCAATGCTTACTGAGGCCCAATCCCAATCTGCAACACAATTCAGTTTTGCATCCTATTATTTGCCTAACATCAATTCATTTCTGATTTCCTTGGCTATGGCTTACAACTGAATCAAAGGTAAATCAAGTTCATAAAAAGCCTGCCTTCCTAAGTACGAGCAGTAACACCAGGTGCAGTAGCTAGAGGCTGTAAGTTGCATACTTACTATCATTCCCTGTGGGAAGGAATCTGTAAATCTGCAAAATGTAAGAAGGTCATAATTAAAAAATCATTTCTGAAAGGCCTTCCATTCATATTTTTGAGGAGGCCAAGCCATCTAAAAGTAGGGCACCAGAAGCATTTACCCATCAGACAAATCACATGCTTGCTTAAAACTCTTTCTGCCCGCACGCCTGCTGCACCCTACCATCTCTATCTTAACAACAACAAAAATAGTTCATATAAACCTTTCCACAAACCAGGCCACCTACTATGAGACTGGAGCAATAGTCCAGTCAACCATGTAGTCCAGAGGAGCAGGTTACCAAGTATTTAGTGACCAAGAAGGGCAAAGGAATGGCACCCACACACTCTGACACATTCACCTTCAGCTAAAGACAGTCCAGTACAGCTCTAATGACATCAGGACCTGTGGAATGTATGACTGCCAGGAAACACATGCTGCTGGGAGACAAACAGCAGATCTCACCCCATCTGCCAACCTGAGGACTGGGGATCACAGTGATCAGATAGTCAGCAATGCGAGCGCAAGGACTGTTTAGTCCTCGGAAGCATTCACAAGTGTAAAGACTTTAACACACAGCCTCCAGCAATGAAGCAGATATAGGAAGCTAGGTTCTCACCAAGTAAATCATAACTCTAAGCTTCCTCCCAGGATGATGGCCACTAGCAATCTGTCTTTAAAAACAGAATAACCCCAAGCATCAATGATTCAGTCATTTTTTTTTTTTTGCAGCTTACTTTTTTAGGAGAACAAGACCTCCGAAAAGAAATCCAGAAATTACTGTACTTAAAAAACAAAGTACCCATTTACAGTTCCACACGTTTTTCAAAATTAGAACACAACCCTTTGCAACAAATACCAAAGAAGTCACAACTAGTCCAGAACTAAGAATGTAGTAGCCTTCGATTATTGAAATTAAAAAAGCAGTTTAGCTGTGCAAAAGTAACAATTTAGAAACTGTTATCTTCATTCATTCTTTACCCTTGCTTTGGTTACAAAAAAAAGAAAAAAAGATCGAGTGAGTGCAACACAAATATCCTCTGAACTCCTACACAAATTATCTGGTATCCTCTTTTGGTGATACTATAAAAGAACTAGTGAGTCTATTTGTAGTCCACATACAGAGAAATTGGGCGCCAACACTTCCTGGTATTTAGTATCATTAGAGATGGGAAAATGTATTAGGGAAATCTGGCTAAACTGTTTAATCTCACAGGGAAACATAGGAGATTCTCACGGTGAAAAAAAAAATTGCCAAAGAGGAGTTTCTCTGCAGATTCTACCCTGACATTCTCTAGTGATGACAGCCCATATGACACTAAAATTAGCAGACTGCCTAGTGACTTCGGAGCAAAACACGGAAGACAATTTCTCCTTCCTGCCAGAGTCGCTGCGTCGCCTCCTTTCCCCAGCAGCTGGCTGCAAGGATGCAAAAATTCGAGGTGCAAGAAGGCTTCTCCTCGCTAATGAGTAATCCCCCCCCCCCCCAGGAAAGTAAACACGGCGGGCAGGGGCGGCTCGGCCCGGCGGCGGGGATGCGCGCACCGTTGTTTACAATGCGCTCTGACTACCGCAGGCAGGGATCGCACGCAGACCCGGGCGGAGACACCGAGGCTGGCTCCAGCGCCTCCACTTCACCCAACTGCTCTGCTATCCCTAGCCATACAACCAGGGGACCAGGGAAGGGGCCGGAGCACCCACCCCGGAGTCCGGGGCTTAGCCGGCTTCTCTCAGAGCGTTCCATCCGTCTGCGGGTGAGAACTACTCTAGGAGGTCCTCATGGGCGCCCGGGCGAGGTGCGTGGAGCGCTGCACCAGCGCCTCTCACGCGCCGCACGCATCCCGCCGAGCTGCGCCTCTCCGGGGGAGCCTGGACGCTCGCAGCCCTGCGGGGCCCCCGCGGCCTCCCCAAACCTGATTTTCCAGTTAAGCGGATGGCGGGCGCTTGCGATAAGGGAGCTCCGCTCAGGTGGCATGAGCTCACCTCCCGGCCGGCCCCCGGGCGCACACGGACACGGGCTAATCCTGGCCAAGGGGGTCGCCTCCCTAACCGCCACACACACACGCGCGCGCGCGCACACACACACACACACACACACACGCGTACGGCCGGTGGCTGGCACGCTCCGCCTCCGAGCTCCGACGTGGGACCCGCGCCTGGGTCTCGGCTGCAGCGCAGAGCCTGCCCCGTCCCTGGAGGGGTGCCCGAGGTGGCTGCCCTCCTACCTGTAACCCGCGGCCGCCAGGCTCTGCCCACCGCACCCGGGGCCGTGGCCGCCCGGATTCTTGCAACACCGCCCCCACCCCACCCCCCAGCCCAGCCCAGTGTGTCCGCTACCAGCACCAGCACAGCCCCGGGCCACCCATGAAAAGTGGCAGCTTTTTCCCCAGTCAAACCCGCCTAACAAAGCGCGGGCACGCAGGGCGAAACCCCACGGCCGTGCTGGGGACGCAACCCGCGGGGTGCGGGGCGGCAGCGCCCCTGGGCGACTCGGGGGCCGCAACCTGGACGATCGCGGCCACCTTGGATGCTCCTGGCGGGCGTCGAGGGAGGACCGCGCCGGGCTCGCCACCCCGCAGCCCGGCTGCTCACCGGGTCCCCGACCGTTCTCCAGCGCGCGCCCGCCGCCAGCGGCACTAGCTCCGGCCAGGCGGAGAAAACGCGCCCCCCTGGTCTGCTTGCTGCCCCCGCCCGGGGATGGCACTGGGGTGAGAAGCGGAGGGGGAAATTTCCGAGGTGGAACCCGTTCCTATTCCGTGGCGCGGGCTACCGGGAACGCGCCGGGTCCCCTCTCCCCTTCATCGCGCGCCCGCCAGGGTCGCCAAATCGCCCAACAGCTGAGGAGGGGAAGAAAAAAACCCGCCGAGCCCATGTCAAACGCGTGCGTGCGCCCGCCGGCCGGGAGGCTCCCTTCGCGGTCCGAAGAGTGCGCGGCGCGGGCAGGGCGAGGGCGCGTGAACCCGCACCCCTGGGCCGGCCCCCGCGGCGGTGCGGAGTGCGGGGTTCATCCATTACCTTTCGTGGCCGCCAGTCCCGGAGAGGTCCCATCAGCCGCTCAACAACCTGCAGCCGGGCGCAGTTTCCACAATCCAGCCATGAGCCGGGGCCAGAGCCGGGGCGGCCCCGGCGGAGACACCCCCCGCACCGCACGCGGCCCGGAGCGCACAGAGACCGCAGCGGGCGGAGACGCCGGGCAAGCAGCGGCACGGGAAAAGTCCGTCTTCGCCCCTGTCTTCGGCTACACAGCCATGGAGACGCCGAGCGCGGACGGGGGTGGGGGGAAAGCGAGCGCCCGCCGCCGGCTTCCTCTGCGTTCCTCGCCTCACACGCCCCAAGGGGGCGAACGCGCCGCCGAGCGCGAGGAGGGCTGCGACGTCGCTGCGAGTCCACAGTTGCCCAACTTCGGAGTCGGGCTCCGGGTCCGGCGGCCGCCGCCGCCGCCGAGGGACCCCGCGGCAGCTACCAGCGCGCGGTGGTCATCGCCGGGGCGCCCGGGCCGCCTCTCGCCGCCGCCGCCGCTGCCGCTCACGAACAGACGCTGCCGGGGAGACCGAAAATCTCCCACCATCCCCCCAGCCGATCTTTATATCCAGTTCTCCCACCCCACCCCCTCCGCCTTCTTTCTCTTCTTCTTCCTCGTCCTCCCCTTTCCGCCTCGGAGCGGGAGCGATGGAATAGGTAGGGGAAGCCGCGAGGGCCAGGGGTGGCTTCTCCGCCGAGCCCCCCTCCTCCTCCTCTTCCTCCTCCTCCTCCTCCTCCCGAGGTTCTCTCCCGGGCGAGGGTCCCCTCTCGCGCCCGCAGCCTGCGCCGAGAGCCACGCAAACTCCTTCCCCGGTGCACGGCGGACGCGCGCGAGCAGAGCGGGCGCCGGGCGGCCGCGGGCTGCGTCCCGGGGGCCGGGCCCCGAGCCCCGGCGCGGGGTGATTAGCGCGCCGGCCGAGCCGGGCAGCCGCGGGCATGTGGGAGCTTCATCGCGCGGCCAGGCTCCGCGCCGCCTTCGCCTCCCTCGCCGCCGCCGCCGCCGCCGGGTGCCTCTCCTCTCCGGCTCCGCAAAGCGAGCGTGGCGCTGGCGCTCTCCAGACACGCACCCGCGCGAGCGCCTGGCGGAGCAGCCCGGGCCCCCCGCGCGCGCGCGCCCGCAGGCAGAGCACGGAGGCGAACGGAGAAGAAAGAAAGGGGAGGGGGCGAGTCACTGGAGGCGGCGGCGGTGCTGGTGGTGGTCGTGGCGGTGGCGGCGGCTGCCGGAGCGGAGGCAACGAGCAGTCCGGGGAAAGCCGGCGGCGGCGGCAGCGCCCACCCGGACCAGCCGCAGCATCTGCATCCCCGCTCCGGGGACCTGGAGCGAGTGGGCCCGGGCCAGCAGGCGAACGGGCGACGCGCCGAGAGCCAGGCGGAGCGCGGGCGCGCCGGGGCCGCGGAGCCTGTGCGGGGCGGACGCAGCCGGGGCCGGAGCCGAGGCCAGAGTGAGCCGCGGGCGGGCGAGCGGGCGGCGCGAGCCGCGAGACCCGGGGAGGGGGCTCGCGCCGGTGGGGCGGGGGGGAACGGGGCGGCCGGCAAAACCCGGATCTGGAGTGCGCGCGGGCTCCGCCTAGCAGCTCAGCGAGCGCGGGCAGGCGGGCGCCGGAGCGCGGCTGCTGCAGGAGGCCTGCCTTTCGGGTCTGTCAGACAAAGGGTGCCTCTCCCGCGGCTGTGAGGTGTCCCTGCCTCTCTGTCTTCCCCCATCTCCCCCCACCCTTCCTCCACCTCCACCCCCCACCCACCCTAGGTGAGCCTGGGATCTCAGGTTGGGGAGTCCTGCCGGAATCAGTCTCTCTCTCTCTCTCCCCCTCTCTCCCCCTCCCTCCCCTGTCTCCCCCCTCCCCAGTCTCTCTCTCTCTCTCTCTCTCTCTCTCTCTCTCTCTCTCTCTCTCCTTCCTCTCTCTCCTCTCTCTCCTCTCCTCTCTCTCTCCAGGTACAGACCATTCTGTGTGTTTGCGCGACGCAGGTACCGAGCCCCAAAGCGTTCCCCGCCTCTGGACCAGGTTGTGTTCCCTCAAACTTACCTCCCCATGCAAGTTCTTCGCGGAGTTGGAAGTACCCTTGCCTGATCTCTGGCCGTGGAGATGGCCATGGTTTTATTTCAGGGCATCGAGAAAAATGATCCTTAGGGATGCAGGAAAGTGCGGGAGCCGGCGCCACGCCTTCCGGGAGAGGGAAAGTGCTGGAGGTGACGGCGGCGTGGCCTTGGCCGGTTCCTGAGCCCCGCTACCCGACCCCAAGTGCCTTCTGTGTCCTGGAGCGAGTTAGGTGGAGCCTTCCCAAGGTTTCCCCCTGCTCCGAAATCCCACGATGGCCAGTGGCTCAGGTATTATTTTCTATATCAGCATGCTAAGTTATGAAGATGGACGCCTCCAGTGAGCGCGTGACAGAGTCCAGTTCTCCAGACTGTGTGTGGTGGTGAGTTTTCCAGCATGATCTAAGGCCCTCCAGGAGCTTTCAAGGAGGTGAGACCAATCCCGCATATGAAGAACCCAAAACCTCGTTAGCATTAACAGGACCTTGCCCAATGCTGGTGACTGTCAAAACCTTTCCTACCCAGCCTCGCCAAACACCCAAAGCACAACAGAAATACGAATAAAAACCACTGCTTCCGTTGTACTCCCAGAACACTTTGATAGTATATTTACCCTAACTCCTACTTCATGCTTGTTTGTAAACAGCTGTTTACCTGGATGCCTCCTCAGATGGTAAAATCATTCTTGAATACAGATTCCAGGTGTATACCATGCAAAGGTATCCACAGCGTTTTGCACATAATAATTCCTTTAAAGGTGGGGGTTGGGAAAGGTGATGTAATGATGTTGCCGAATTCCAGCCAACTAGATGTTCACAGTTGCAAGTTAGACTACTTGAATTTGCCTAATACAGGACATCCATGAACTCCCCTGAGTACTTAAAGAAAATACAAACTGACATCTGAAGTCGCTTGATACTTAAACAAATAGTTTTAGAAAGAATCGACTCTAGCCAGTTGTGACAAGAAGCTCTTATTTGTGAAGGAGGCAAAATAGAAGCTACTTAATTCCTCTGCCAAGTGCTTAATGGCTGTATTTAGAAAAGTAATAAAACATTTTTAAATATATAGAATGAAAGTGCTGTATAGATGTTAAACGATATTAGTGGCAGTAGCAGAAATGCAAATAGTAGCTATAGATCAGTTTTTAGAATCAACCTTATCATAATGTGAAAGGCTTGGAAGGATGAAGAATGAAATTTCAAAATGGAGGTAATGTTGATACCAAAATGTGGGATGTATCAACTGAAAGCAAAGCATAGCCAATTGAAAGTGTTGGCTGAAGAAGAGTTGACCAGAGAAAGCAAAATTGCAAAGAGAATTATAAGGGAAAAAACAACAACAAAAAAAGGTAAGTAGAAACAACTGATGTTTAAAGAAAATCAACAAAAAGAATAGGTTAATTGTTTACACAATTTATTTAGCTGTCAAGGGGATAAATTTTACAGCATATGCCTATACTTTGGGTTCATACTTCATGCTTCCAAATCATTCTTAATGTGATGGGCATAGTCTCCTGTATTTGATTTAAGATATGAAGTATCCCACTCCACTGCCAGGAAATCCATGACTCTTGCCAGTGTTTTTCTAAGGTGAACCTTCTGCAAAAATAAAATAAAATAAATCCTGTGCCATCTTTGCTACACTTGTAGTTAACACCATCTTCTCAGAAGCAAGACAGCATCAGAGATGACGTGTGAGCCCAGATGCTATTATACCAGGTAGCTCTGTGCCTGCAAGAATGGTTTTTGAAAAAGATAGCAATATTAGCTTCAGTGCCATTAGCATTGGAAAATAATTCAAGATTGACCAAATGGAAAATGATCTCAATGAAAGAAGAAAGCTGAATATCTGATAATGACAGGGTGACCAAAATTAAAATATTTTCCATTAATAACCATAAAATTTCCTAACCAAAGGAAGCTTTCCAGATCAATAAGATTCTAAGATACCCAGGAGGATGAAAGTCTAGAAAAGACAATCTGTTCACAGAATAAATAGAAATGGGCAATAAATGTAAGGAAATATGGTCTGCGTTTAGAGGTCCAATTTCGAAGAATATATACAATTCGAATATCTATCATGTTTCAGGCTTGCCCAAGGAGTTAGCTGAAATAGCAACAATATACCATTACTAAACTGTAACAGGAAGAATCACTCTGCACCTAAAGTTGCATTTATGAAATGCATGAAGTCTGTATTTCTTAAATAAAAGGTTTCTGGAAAAAAAATGTATTGAGGGAACCAGTGCTGTGGCATAGCAGGTTAACCTATGGCCTACATTGCCAGCGTCTCCCGTGTGCTCTGGTTCAAGTCCTGGCTGCTCCATTTCCAATCCAGCTCCTCGCTAATGCACTTAGGAAAGCAGTGGAAGATGTCCCAAGTGTTTGGACCTCTGCACCTGGAAGAAGCTCCTGGCCCTGGCTTTGGCCTGGCACAGCCCAGGCTGTTGCAGCCATTTGGGGAATGAACCAGCACATGAAAGATCTCTGTCTCTCTTTTTCTGTAACTCCACCTTTCAAATAAATAAATAAATAATTTTTTTTAAAATGTATTGAGACAGGCGTGCCCCTATGCTAGTGATATACATTGACACAATTGTCCTGGAAAGAATAAGTATCAACTGACTTATACAGGGGTTCTCCAAAAAAGAATTCATGGAATATTGAATTAAATGGTAGCATATGTTTTCCATGAACTTGTTGAAGACCCCACATAGACTGTACATGCCTTTAATCCTGTATTGTTTTTATTCATAGATTTACGCAGAAATAAGCTGAGATATAGACAAGGACTTTATGCAATAATATACAACCTAGTCATAATTGTTATACACAGGGGGATGCTGTAGAAGGTATATGTAGCTTGCGCCGCTGCTCTCTAGGCTAATCCTCCGCCTTGCGGCACCGGCACACCGGGTTCTAGTCCCGGTCGGGGCGCCGGATTCTGTCCTGGTTGTTCCTCTTCCAGGCCAGCTCTCTGCTGTGGCCCGGGAGTGTAGTGGAGGATGGCCCAAGTGCTTGGGCCCTGCACCCCATGGGAGACCAGGAGAAGCACCTTGCTCCTGCCATTGGATGAGTGCGGTGCGCCGGCCGCAGCACACCAGCCGCA